GAGCCATTGCGAAAAATAGTAGATGAATTGAGAGAAGATGAATGAATGTGGTTGCATATTTATAATAATAATAATAATAATAATAATAATAATAAGGGGTATTTATAAAAATAACCGGACCTTTGTCACAAAATAACCATATTTTAGCGGTTTACTGAAATGACCACACGGATCGCTCCCGGCAAAAGGTTGTGTAAACCGGTTATTTTTATAAAGACCCTAATAATAATGAATTGAGGGTAATTATTAATTAATGAATTAAGATGAAGCGCTTCCCCTTCCTTCGTCTATTTATTTTTGACTCTTCCTAATACATAAAATTGTGGTACAAGCTTTTTCTCTTTTCCACTCTTCTTCTTCCTTTCCTCTTTTTTCCTCTCTTTTTCTCTTTTATGCATTGAGTTTTTTGCTTTTGCTTTTGTTTTTGCTTTTGCTTTTGCTTTTGTTTTTACTTTTTATGTATTAAGCTTTTGCTTTGGCAGCCCAATGCATACCGGTGATACCTGTATAAAACCGTGTGGCATCCCCCTTCTTTCTCTCAATCATATTTGTACGGTAAGCTTCATCACCGCAATTACCCCAACCTTTCCCGGTAGCCACTCTTCTGTTTTCCGGCTACTCCTCTTTCTTTCATACAAATCCCCAATCCTTCTATGTAACCCTCACCCCACCCCTTCATCTTCCTGTGATACACTTGCAACGCCATTCATGGTAAAAGAGACGCCTCCAAACCTTTTGGTGAGATTGCTTGCCGATACAAGAATCTGGATGGAACTGCATGTCCATCGGCCACAGCTCCAACTTCGGCCACCTTCATCGTTGGCACCCTACAGCTCCAACTCCGGTCGTCTCTACCCAACCACCTTGCTCGATCTGTTGCTCTCTTTACTTCTCCTTGAAATTGGATTGTCCAAACCACAGATCTGGAGGTTCTTCTCCTCGATCTATTATTCCTTGGAAAGAAAAGCCACATTTATGTTCGATCCCAACCACAGATCTGGTGGTGCTTCTCTCTCTCTCTCTCAAATTTGTTGCTACCATACTTCTTTTCGTGATTAAATTGAAAATCAAGCAAATGTAAATGTTTGGTTTTAATTTCAAAGATTCC